GTCAGTTCAAAGTTCGAGCAATAGATGACTTAGTCCATTTTTTTATTACGAGGAAAGACTACTCTAAATCTGCCTTTTAATTAAACCCAATGGCAAAGAAAGATCATAAAAGAGTTGAAGATAATGTTCATGCAAGGGAAAAACGGATTTATGATGGGATACACAAGCTTGTGGCCGCAATTGACTTCAAGCTTAAAAATACTCTGGCTTCTATATCTAAGGTCAATCCAACTCCTTCAGTTGACCTTTCTTCTTCCTCTTCTATTCCCCTTCTTCATTTTAAGCCCTCTTTTACTCTTTTTACTTTTTTCCACGTACCTTTTAAACTAATCTTGATTCTTGTCCCTTATTTTTTCCCATTGTTTGAAAAATCTCTTTGCTTTTCTTTTTCTTCCTCTAATATTGTGATGGTCTCTGCTACTGCTCGAGTATGAAATTTTATTTTTATAGAATTTAAGTCTTCTGAAAATGAGTATTATAAAGGTAAAGAGGATTTTAACAAGGAACGAAAAAAGAGATTCGACCAAGTGAGGAGAGAGTGAATGGGAGGAAAAGGTCTTCTCAAATTTAAACAACTTAGCCCAGATTCCTTTTTTACACTCATTATAGTTTAGGTTTAGTCCTTAAAGATATGATAAAAAGTTTGAAAAGTAAGGCTAATCTCAAGGACTATCTTAACATGTGCTCTATACATCACGTTCGATCTTTGAAGGTTAACTTTGACCTATCAAATAAGGGATACAGTGTGTTAGCATTAACCAGTGAGGACCAGATCACTTCTTCTTTACAAGATCACTAGATTTTGGTGTATTGGGACTTCATAATAGCTGGTTTGAGGTTTCCTTTACATTTTTTTATTGTCAAATTTTTTAATTCCTATAATTTGACTATCACTTAGTTCACTCCAAATTTTTTTGTACATAATAGCTTTCATTATTCTTTGTATAAAGTTAGATATTCTTTCAACCATCACTTTATTTAGGAAAATTTTCATATTTATGAAGCACCTCTATGATAAGAGCAAACTTTATGTTATAGTTAGGCTAGCTAAGAAAATCTTCTTGGATTGTCCAAGTTTAATAAAGCATTGAAAGTTGCTCTTTCTTTGCATCAAGAAGATGGATGATCAAGGAAAGCTCGATCCTTTTCTATTTTATTAGGGTCTCATTAGGTGATTTGCCTCAGTGGCTTTGGCCATCTGAGCTTAGGATCATTTTCTATTTGAATCAGAATTTCCTTTCTAGAGGTATTTAGTGCTATGTAGTTCATTGTTTGTTTGAGCTCTTGGCCCTATGGTACCCTTAATGTCTCTTTAAGGAGGATCATAGATTACCTTGCCTTTCTTCCAACTAAGATAGAGATGCACTTTTCTTACCTTGACCGTCGATGAAGGGGGATGAGCCTCTCTCACCTCGATTTTCATTGTAGCTTTAACATTGATTTTTTTTTACAACAAAGAGCATGTTGATTAATGTTTTTAGGCGATTCAAAGGATAGTGTAAACTTCAAGTGGTACTCTTTGTGATTGAGTCCATTAATGATGACAGCTACCACGGTTGTTTGTTTTAAATCTTTCACTTGTAGAGCTTTTGTATTAAAACTAGCATAGCCTTTTAGAGACTCATTTCTACCTTGATGGATAGACATCAGGCTTAGAGTAGTTTTTTTAGTTCGCCTATTGCTTACAAATTGAGACAAAAAAGAGTGATTGAGCTCTTAAAAGTAGTAATGGATCTTAGTTTCAAACTACAAAACTAAGACTGAGTTGTCCTTTGAAAGTGGTTGTCAATTTTTTACATTTGATAGCCTCACCTATTACCTGCATCATTATATTAGTTTTATAAAGTTTCAAATGATCAAAGAGATCAATTATACCATCGTATATTTTCAAAGTCGGTATCTTGAATCCCTTTGGGGCATGGTTCTGTCAATCTCTTGAGAAAAGGGTAAAGTCTCTAGGAATTTCAATTCATCCTTAAAAGCCACAACTTTCCTTTTGACTCATTCTCTTTTGCTTGCATCTGAGCTTGAAGGTCTTTGTTTTACTGGGGTTCAGGAATAGGTTATTTTGTTTTTTGGATGGTTGATACAGAGGTGTGTGAGTGATAGAGGTCGGTTGTTGGTGTAGGCTCTTCTTCTCAAGAGGCTGAAGATGCCTCAATGTTTTCGTGGCTCGGTTGTCTTTCTATTGGTTATCTTTTAAAAATGACTAAGTCAGGTACTTTAGAGGTTTTTGGTGGGGTTATAACTTGGAGCATTTATTTCAGGCCTTATATTTCGTTCGTTTAGAGCTAGAAATTGTTCCATTGTTAGGCCTGTTGAAGTGTAGGTCAGTCTCTAGGTTGGTTAGTGTGGGTTTTTATTCCAGTTGGGACAACTGGCTGTCCTTCCTTGGGAACTCTCTTTTTAGGCAACATAATGTTTAGCTTGGCTAAAAAATGTATAACTCCTACTTTATGCTCAAATGTTGGTGCCGAGCTTTGAGTAAAGAGATAAAACCTCGAAATCACAAGAGTGTTCCTTGCATTTATACTTCAATACTTAAGTTAGAGATCGACTATGAAAGATTAGAAAGAGAGTAAAAGGTAAAGTAAAAGAAAAGCAAGATAGATAAATAATACTTAGATGACTTTATTTATAGATGAAAGATGATAAATTTGTGGAGTAAATTAGTGACGTGACTGAGCTGACATGGCATTATACATGCTAGATCGACTTGAAATGTCAGGTTAATCCAAAAATTGAAAATGCCCTTAACTATCTGTTAACAATCTTTAATAAAAGAAAAGACCATTTTACCTTTGAATTCAAAAATACTTTTAACAATGATAAATATAAATAATTATTATTACTTTATAAATAATCTTAAAAGATAAATAAATAAATATTTTAAGATAATTCTAAATAATAAATAAAATAATAACATAAATTATAAGATAAAATATTAAGACAATACTAATTAAATATCTTAAAATTGTAAAGGCTCGTAACACTATTTACGGTTAGCTTTATGCCAATTATTTTGTAACGTTTTGTAGGGAGCTTTTGAAATGAAGTTTAAAATCTAGTTTGCATGAGTTTTTGAAAATTTTTAAGCAAGGTTAATTTTAGGGATAGCAAATTTACACAAAATCATCAAATTTCGATTCGATCTGATTTTATAAGATAATTTTTTAAATATTGGGTTTTGAATCAGGTTAATTTTTTTAAAAGTTAAAGTCAAGTCAAAGTCAAATTTTAGATAAATTTATCCAAACTTGACCCAATATATATATATAATATTTTTATTATTTATTTATTTTTATATTTATATATTATATTAATAAAATTATTATTTAATATTTTAATTTAAGATATTTAACTTAATAAAAATACTATATTTATGTATAATTAAGATGTAATTTATATTAAAAAGTAATATTTTATAAATATTATATAAAATTAAAATTATTAAATTAATTTTGAATCAAATTGATTATAATTTTATATATATGAGTCTAATATAAAAATAACAATATTTTAATATCAAATTGGAATTAATATAAATTTTATAAAATCATGTTGGAATGGAGACAAACAAAACTCATGCTACGTCATTGCTATTCAAGTTTAAACTAAAGACGGGAAAGATTGCTATTCAAGTTTAAAGGATCGGTCCGCAAGTGGACATTACAATTCATGTTTTGTGTCATGTCTTGTATAGTATTTAACGCGTGTAATGACACGAATTATTAAAATATGAATATAATAAAAATTATAAAATATATTTAAAATTTAAATACAAATATAACATATTTATTATATGTGTTACACGTAATACGATATGATTAATATATATATAATTAATCTGTTTAAATATGATATAACTAATATAAATATACATGAATATATACAATTAACACAATATATACAAGAAGATAACTAAAATAATAAATAACTATAAACTATTCATCATTTATAACTTAATAAACTTGACATATTAATAATATAAAAAAAATTTATATATTAAAAAATTAAAAAATTTAATATCCATTTAATATGTATTTAATATATATATATATTTTAATATATATTACATAATTATATAAATTTTTAGTATCAAATTCAAATTTTAAACTATTAAAGATTAAAGAATAAAATAATAATGTATAAAACCAAAATTAATATTTATATTGTATTTATATTATTAATATAAAAAATAATTTTATAATAATTATTAAATAAGTATCATAATTACATGTTTAAAATAATTTTTATAGGATATTAAATAGCTAATTAAGTATCATAATTAAAAGATTAAAAATTAAAATAATCTTTATATGTTTATATTAAATTAAAATAATAAAAATATATATTAAACATGTTAAATATATTAAATGTGTACTCATATGATAAGATTAAATTAAACATATTATTTTTATCGTATCACGTATTGAGTCATGTCAACACGTATAAAATACGAATTATGTCATGTCAAAATTCGTATCGATATAAATAAATACCAAACACGTTTTTTTAAAACACATATTCAATATTTTTGTATTATTTTTTATATTATATCATTATATTATGTATGAAATTATCAAGTTTATCCACGAGAGCAAGCGGTGTCTATTGGAAGTACTGATTTTTTTTTTCTACATTTTTTTCTCTTTGAAATTTTATGTGACAAGTCCAGGGTCTAGAAGGGCTCAAATCAGTTATTAGACCACCCAACACTTTAACCAGGCCCAGGGGCTGGCGTTGGTGCCCCTAGCTCGTTAATTTTAGTTTTCCTTTACATTGCTAGGATAGAATTCGTTTTTGAAATTTCTAATCTATCTTTGAATATTTAAAAGATATTAGATGCAAAAGCTCATTTAAATTCTTAGTTTTCAAGTACTAATTCCTACAACATATCAACTAATTCAAAAATCAGTCGTGATTTTTTAAGATAGAATTAGATAGGTTTCCACGTCACTAGGCAGACAATCAGGGATACAATGTTTGAAATGATGTTTGGAGCTTTTAGGTAATCTTCAAGAAATAAGCAAATCTTGAGCAGAAACTGCCAATTGCAGGTTATGCTTAAGCAAAATTAAGCACAACAATTGCAAAATCGCCAGCATTCTGAAATATCAAATGATATACAGTTAGAAAATAAGGGACAAAAAAACAAGTAGCAAACATAAATATTGGTTCTTATACTCGTAGAAATGACTTATTGTGAGCTTTGTACTATCTACCATATTCTAAAGTAACGGTTAGCTCATTTTGGGAAAATGTCTCTGGTTTGCTAGATGAAGAAGCTCTGCTCGAAGGGCATCGCCTGACTACAAATGCTGGTTGTTTAGGAGCTGGAAGCGATGCAGTTTCGCTGCCAAGCATGAAAACTACCTGTGACATGGTGGGACGATCGCTCGGGTCTTCTTGCACGCACAAGAGCCCCACATTTAGACACTTCAGAAGTTCGTTTGCTTTGCAACTCTCTTGCAGTGTCTGGTCCAACAAATCTAATGCCTTGTCTGCCTTCCACAAATGCCACGCCTGGTAATAGTTGTAAAATGCAAATTGGTATTAGGTGGGGAATAAAATCACTATGCGAAAAGGGTGAGAAAAAAGGCAACAAAACTTACATAGCCCAGAAGGCTCAAAGACTGTTCAGGATGGTAAAATCCGGTGTTCCTCTTTCCAGTGATGATCTCAATTACAACAACACCAAAGCTAAACACATCTGATTTGAATGAGAAAAGTCCGTCTAATGCATACTCAGGAGACATGTAGCCACTGTATCATCAAAACCAAGACATTAAAAACTATTTTACCAAAGTAATCAAGTTTCTTTTTTTTTTTTTTGTGAAACTTTGTAATCAGGTCTCATGAATCTATCATTCAAGTAAAGCTTACTAAGTTCCAACGACTCTCTTTGTGTTTGCAGCAGTTTCTTGACCACCAAAAATCCTTGCCAAGCCAAAGTCTGAAATTTTGGGATTCATTTCCTCATCGAGTAGAATGTTGCTCGTTTTCAGATCTCTGTGAATTATCCTCAGCCTTGAATCTTGGTGGAGATATAGAAGGCCTCGGGCAATTCCCAAAATGATGCGGAATCGGATATCCCAGTCCAGCAGAACGCATAGCTTCCGATCTTGTAAGGTTTTTCATTTCCATTCAAGAACATATCTTTAGTGACCGGTCAGTTACTATGAATTCATATGTGAAGATTATATGTAAAACAGACAGTTGAAAGTTCGGTAGAGGCTCACCAAATATGAAGGAGTCTAAGCTTTTGTTAGGCATATACTCATAGAGTAGCATCTTTTCATCTCCTGCAACACAATAGCCTAAAAGTCTAACAAGATTTCGATGTTGAAGTCTTGCAATCAGCACGACCTCATTTTTGAATTCCTCTAAGCCTTGTCCTGAACCACTTGAGAGCCTCTTTACAGCAATTTCTTGCCCTTCCGGAAACTTGCCCTGGTAGTAGATTCCCGTTTTCAGCGTGTTTAACCAAACAAAATTAGAAAGATGAATTTTAAATAGTAGAATAAAAGTCTATTACCTTGTAAACAGGCCCAAATCCCCCTTGCCCCAGCTTGTTTGCGTTTGAGAAGTTTTTTGTTGCAGCTAGAATACTTTCTAAATGAAAAAATGGTACCTCTATGCCATCTGTATCGTCTTCTTTAAGTCGTCCTGAATCAATCAGGTCTTTGACATGTCTCTCATTGTCATACAAGTGAAGTGCAGAATTTCTTTGAATGTTTCCCCATATCCCTGTGTTTCAGATAAACCTTGCCCAAATGGAATAACCCCTAAAATTTTGTGATTCATTTTCTGAAAATAAAAAATGATTGGTAAATGGTACTTACCGTTTCCCTCCGCCAGCTTTCTCCTTTGCAAGTAAACATAAACGATGGTGCTTGACAGAATGGTTAGAACAACTGCGCTAAGAAAAGCTATTATAAGGATCAGAGATGAAGCCATCTTTTTGGTTGAAGACTCGTATCTCTTTTCTCTATAGCCACTGTCTGCAGGAGTAGAGAAGGACCCTTTTAACATATAGACTTGAAAGTTACATGTATATAATTCAGTCTCTGCATCTTTGGCAAGCAAATTCACAAAGTGACATTAGATGATACTAACGCTTTTCTAAACAAAAGTCATTTGCATCAAACTTCATAGTTTTTGCCTGAGCGTTATTAGAAGACATATGCTGAAATGTTGTCTTGCTAGGTTGACTCTGGTTAGCAGAATGTGCAACCAATGTATTTACTCTAACGGTCTTACCCCTACCGTTGCATATTGGCAATTAACCAAAATGCCTTTGCAATATTATTTCCCTCTGCATAACTGATTTAAATTATTTATTATCAACAAAACAACTAAACTTCTTTAAGGCAAATAACAGTTTCCGATTAAATAGTTAGTTATATCATTCTACCTTCAGTGCAATTCAAATTCAAGTTATCCCATCGAAAGTTTGTGTTGCAGAGGCACCTTTTCTTTCCATCACTTGTTACATTACAAGTTGACTTTGGCCATTCTTTGCAATCTGTAGGTGAGGAGCAGGTTGGCTCCAATGGAGGATCCCAGCCTATCTCTATTTCATCTGCATTACACCTGCTAGTAACGTGAAATGGTGATGGCTGCTTGAACTGAAAGAAATTGTCACCTGAATTTCCAGCCTTACAATCATTTGCATCATTGGTTTGAATGATGAATTTTCGTGTTTCTGGATTTAAGCTTGTCACTCTATAGGTGCCACTGGGCGCATCAAAAGTAACTTCCCCTGAAGAGGTGTTGCAGTGAAAACTGATGTACATGGCATCACCACATTTTGGTCCGGTGCTAAGTGGATATGGAATCAGGTTTGTGCCACAAGTCTCACAACTTCTTCTGGTTGATTCTGCAAAAATAGAATAACTTCAAATTCAGATGATGAGCTCCTTGTCATTTCTTATTGAAAAATGATTTAAAATACGAAATAAGACTTTTGAACCTCATATAACTAGTCTGTAAGTCCAAACAGATACCACATTGTAGACACATTGAAAATTTTCTGATGCAAACAGAGTGACTTTTAAAGTCATCTACAGATTTTCTCAGGGATTACATTTTTACTCTACTGCCAAATAGACAGAAACCATAATGTTCATCATATAGTCTACTATCATTTAATAAGTAGTCATAGAAGTTATGAGGCCATATCCGTCTGAGAAATGAAGCAGGGCGGGTAGAATCAGAAATAAGAAATTTCCCTAAAGCAGGAACTCGCATTGTTGAAAAAGGTTTATGTTTAGATCAAACCAGTACAATGTTGAGAATTTCAATTTAGGCCTGAGAGCCTTCTCTAGATTTCTTAATCTCTAGGATGTATAATGCCATACCTAATGAACAGATCACGTCTGTCTCAAAAAGAGGATTGTCATCAAGCAAAATGTATTAACTTTCAAGAATCATGAAATCAAGCAATTTTCAGAAGGGAAAGAGCTGTACCTACATCAGACACTGGTAACCGAACATTAAGGTTACGGCCACCTTCATACTCCTCCTGAATATTGTTGAGATCTTCCAACCATATCCAGCATGCAGCAATGCGGCTACCACCCTGTTGCACAATATCAGGTTCTTCATAGGAATAAGCCTGGCACTGACAGTTGTTAAGGCACTCTAATTTGCATTCGGTTTCAGTCTTCGCATTAAACTGAGAGTCTGGATTCCCTACTTCCATCATATTCAAGCTCAAGAATGCGTCACTCTCAGCATTTTTGTTGCATATCCTTGACTTTCTAGTGCATCCATCAAAGTAATCCTCGTTATTCCAATTCGCTGGGGCGCTAGGTGCAAAGCCAGGTAAACATTTGCACATCAAGTCATTGTTACTGTTGCAGCTTCCGAAATTTCCGCATACATTGTAGACACTGCATTTATCTCTGGGCTCTGCCCAAATCAAGGACCAGATCTTCTCAGAATCCCTCTTCAAATACTGAATTTGACCGGAGTAACTGATAATCAACCTTGTATCGCTGTATAATGATGAGGTAAGATGAGGCATGGACTCGTTATGGAGTACAACTGAGGTAAAATTTGACAAAAGGAAAGATATTGCTGATGGCATGGCTGAGGGCATCCCATCAGGACCAATGAATTTACCCGAGACACCACTTTTCCAATACCTTGTTGTTCTTTTCCAAATAATGAACTGGTTAATTCTTTCTTGGTCTATCTGAAATGTGAAATTCCCTGGAGCTGGATCATCATAACTTTTCCAAGAAGTTAGTATCCTGTCTCCATCCATTCTCATGCCTGGAAGAAATGTATCAGTTGGATTATCAAAACTCTGCCAGATAATGCTTTCTGAGTGGTTTTCTTGTTCTTCATTGCTCAGCACCAGATTCCCAGCATCCGTCAACTTGGCTTTTCTATATCCAGGAGACACTGCTTCAAGATTCGTTGACCAGATCAATGATTTTCCACTTCCATGCAGCACCTTGAGGTTGCCATCCTCTCCAACAACAAGGACTCCACTATCATCCAAAAGTGGCTTGTCTCTATTGGCAACCCATACAACTGTTTGCGGATTTGAACCATACCATATCCCCACGTATCTCCTGGTGTTAGAGCTTCCATTAGGAGTAAAAAATCCTAGTTCAAACATTTTTCCTGGTGAAACCAGCCTATCTCCTTCGCCATCACGGATCGAACTGTTTAATGTTATGGTCTCTTTAGCAGAAGAACATAGAATAGAACTGCAAAACAGAAATGCGTGCAGAAATAATGTGGGTGGCATCGGCCTTAACAAGCAATTAACGTAGTAATGATTTTCTTTTGATCTTACTTCTCTCAGTTATGATTATTATGGAAGATTAAAAACAAGGAGGCATTCATTGGCTTAGCACTCACCTGCTTTAACAGGTTCTGCAGAAATTTTCATATCCTCTTCTCTATGGAAAAGTGCCCTGCTGTTGTTTTCCATTATCTAAAACGCCCCCACAGACCACAACATAAGGTAGCTTGGTCAGCAGCTAATACCGCCCATGGAATCCACAGTTAAAGATGATGTTGAAATATTGTCGCATAGTTCAATACCTAAACAAAAGCTAATAGCGATAGTATCATTTAATTATGATTTTTCCCTCGTGATTTGGAAATTTGAGAAAGAAAGTTTGACGTATCGACTACTCTTGTACTGCTTTTCCAGGAAGCATATTATCCTGAGAAAGAAAGCACCGCCAATTCTATTTAAGATTGAACGTTGTTAGTCCAACATATATATATTCTAGTGACGTTGGTCAATAAACCATGGAAAAACTCGGTGTTTTTTTAGGGCCAAATTAAATTGATATTGGCTCCAAATCTTGATCTCAGTTAAAACTCCTGTCTGTATCTTCAGTATCTGGCCAAAAAAAGTCCGTATCTTCAGTAGACTAGCATAAGTAATGTAGATCATGATTTACAATATTTAAAGTTGAATTGTAGTGGTTGCAGGCTCAGCGGTGCCGGTGAAAGTGGGGTCGAAAGTGTTTTTCTTTTTTTTTTTTTTTTTGTTTGGCTAAAGAGGTCAAGGTCATTGGATTGTGTTTCTTTTCATCTTTTTATAAGAGGGGCCCTGCTTTAATTTTCTACGTCGTCTTGTGTGACTAAGATCTGGCTACGCGGGACTCCATATACTTCCTCTTTCCATTTCAGCTTATTTATATTCGATGAAAACGACCCATTAAGACCACAGTCAAGGTTTTTGGGAATTTTTAGGAAGTGAAATACCAATCCTGGACCAAGTTCATATCCGTGCCAATTGTGTGGCAGTCGCTTCATCTGCTGCCTAGAACTGAACAGCAAAGTCGTCCAGTGAAATCTGGCTGCTGTGTTGCAGGAACCAAGAGGATTGCATTCAAAAGAATTTATTTTTTACGCTATGTGCAGGATCCAGGGGGTGGAGAGAGCGCAATCCAGACCAAACGCGCAAGCGGCTCCCTCCCTATCTTCTAATAAGAGTATATATATTTTAATAACAAGTAGCCCTAATCCCCATCCGTGATTGGAAATACATAACTTTGCCATGAAGCAAAATGCAAATCAGATGCTTTTAGGAACTAACTTAAGGCATCCGGAAATTGAGGACCACAACATACTCAAAAGCCGGAAAATGAAAATAACGAATAATAAAAAAATAATAAAACAAAAACGTTCGTTAGGATATTAGGTGGACATCTTAATTGAATTAAAATATATTAAATACAAATTATTTTATTAACTTTACTCATTGGCTCCTCTATTTTTTACAAAATTTATTTAATTGAAAAAAACGAAATAAAAAAATTTTGAGGCTTACACGGATACCTACCTAGGTTTCTTTTACAAAATTTATTTAAATTAAAACAAAAAATTTTAAAAGTTGAAAAAAAAAGTAATACCTCGAAACCTTGAATGAGATTAAAACAAAAATCAAAATGAACTAAATTTATATAATGGATTACATCTTATTTAAGAATCAATATAGTATTTTTTATTAAATTAAGTATTAAATAACATGTTATTAATATAATACATATATATATAAATATAAAATTAAATAATTAATTAAAACTATAATTAATATATATATTCAAAACAAAATAAAATATCTTAAATTCGTTTTTAACTTGACTTTAATTTTTAAAATAATAAATCTCGATTAAATTTCAAACAAAAAAATATATCTATCGAATCCAAACAAATTGAAATTTATTGGATATGAATTATTTTAGTATCCATTCCTCTATTGACATTTTTTTAATAAGATTATTTGCCAATTTCTTTTGTTGCATATTATTTGATTAAAAATTCAAAAAATATCACAAAGACAAAAAAAAGGAAATATAATGCCACATATACACATTTATTGGTTTTTTTTCTCAATAAAATTATCTAATTAAAAAAGAAAAAAGACAAAATAACAAAAATTAAAAAAAGATAAAATAACAAAAATTAAAAATAATCAAAATAAAAAAAGAAATTTGAGTTGCTACGCGACATTAGTGTTGATAAGCTTTTCCTAATCACTATAAAAAAATAATCTTTACCAATAAAAAATTTCATAATTAAGAGTCATTTTTTCTATCGGTAATAATAATAGTAACGAATTTAGCAATAGAAAATTTTCAATAATGCTAGCCAAATCAGCAATACTATTTTGTTGATAATAAACAAAATTCATCAAAATTACCAATGAAATTTCTATTGATAAATTATCGATGAAATTTATGGATGAAATTCAACAAAATTTACTTACAAAAATTTTGTCGATAATTACTGATAAAAAAATTCATTGGTAATTTGTTGGTTAGGAGTGAAAAAATTAAAAAAAATCAAAAATCAATTTGAAATTATAATGTTTAATTCTGTTTGGATTTTTTTTTATTTTATTTGGATCAAATTCAAGTATTAAATATATATATTAAGTTCAAATCGAATTTAAGATGAGAAGTAAAAACAAAAAAAAACTAACTACATCAAATTATATATTTTTTTAGTTTTAATATATATTTTAAATTTTTATAAAATAAAATAATAATTTTATATCAAAATTTACTTAAATATATTAAAATTTTATATTAAAATAATATAAAAATAAAAATAAAAATTTTAAATTTAAAAATTAATAAACCAAACAAAATCAATAAAATTCGACTTAATTCAAATTAAATGAATGAAAATTTAAATTTAAATTCGAATTGAATTTTAAAATTTCATAATATTATATAATATTCAAAAAAATAAAATCAAATCTTACCAAACTGTTATCACCCCTACCATTGATAATATTTATTTTTCAATTATGTTAATATATTTTTATTAATAATTTTTATCATTTTATTTTAGTTTTTTAAATTTATTTTTAAAGAATTACATAAGTACTAAATATATATAAATAGAAAAAATAAATAAACAAAATGTTTCATTTTATTTATAAAAAAATATAAAATGTTTTACACAATTGTTTATGAACTCTATTAAATAAAAATGCAAAAAATACATATATGTTGATTGTCAAAAAATACTCAACAAATCTATAACAAGAAATAAAATCTATAACAAAAAATACTCAACCCATTGCACCAACAGAACCAAAGCTGCTCCATCATCAACCATGCTACTAGTCATCTGTTGTTCCAGTGAACTATGGTAAGAATATGACCATGGCATAGCAGTCAACAGCCACCTTTTCATCATGCTTGCAAAAAACTAGACATACTGTGGGCCCCTATAAATACAAACATGAATAATTTTTAAAGCCTTCTTAGATTTAGCAATAGCATTAAGAAAATCTTTAATTAATTCAAATTAAAATTTATGATGACAATTCCAAAATTGAGTCTAGAGAGCAAGGTCGTTTCAAACCTCACCTGCAACCCAGCTAAAGATGGATTTCTCACTTGCTCGCTCAGCCGCTTCCTCTGTGTTACTGCCACTCATATTTGCAGTTAGATCAGATCAGCAGATGAAAAAAAAAAAACATCTAATGCAACAGATCATGTAGGGCTAATTTGAATCATTGAATTGAATGGTATTGCGTAGGACAACTTCCCATGAACCTATCATGTGTCTTATCCTAGAGTATTAGGACACTATAGCATGTTCTAACTTCATATAATTTATCCAACAAACAAATTAGGCAGAACTAAAAACAGTAGCCAATTAAATGAACAGTAATTCTGAATGATAATATCCACTAATTTTCTCCACAAAACACACAGCAGCAAGCTCAACAAATCATTTTACATTGTGGTTTAGTTCTTCATTTTCATTTCAAAGTTGTAAGCTTTGTTATGGTTCCTTTAAGTGTTTGGTTCAGAAAAGAAAATGGACTCATAATGAGAACAACAGCGGCTGTGTACTTTGAGGAATCAAGAACAGGCTCCTGTCTAGCGGGCAGCTAAACAGAGAAGGAAAAACCATTATACACAAGTTATATTTATCCCCTAAAAGAGGCAAAAAAAAAAAAAAAGGAAAAAACAGTTTTTTTATTTTATTTTGCCTAGATTACTTAAGACAAAATTGGAAATAAAATATAGGAAAAAATTCAAGGAATAAAGGAATAGACCAAAACCCGGAAATTGAAAACCTTCTTAAGTTCTTCAGCCTCTTCCAATGCTTTTTGACCTTCATCCACCATTCTATTCTCACCTAAACAATAAAGTAAAAGTTTAGAGAACTACAATTAAGCAAAACTAGGTAACCAACAAAATAAAATAGAGCAAAATAACACTGTTTGCCGCATTTTCAAATCACTAAAAAAGAAAATAACAAACATAATCCCAACCCGAAGGAATATACTCTGAATCGATTTACTAGCATAGAAGTATAACTTTTTAAAGTTGAGGTGTCACTAAGTAGTTTGATAAGAAATACTTTACCAAGATCTTCTGCTTTCTTTAGCTTCTCATTTATCATCTCCTGTGTATGAGGATTAGGTGCAAGCACAGGCAAAGGTGCCAATGGCAGAGGATTTGGTAGGAGTTGAGCAGGGATGCTTTTTCTTTCTTGAATGCAGTAGTATTGACTATCACAATAAAAAAATGTCATATGTTCAAGGGTCAAAAAGTTATCATAGAATCAAGATCATGGAACTTCCACCACAGCTCAAATCAAGAAATACCACTCTATAGCATTAGAATTTTCATTCTTTTATTCCTAAACCTTCAAAAACTAGGATCTACCTACTTGTCTGCTCTTTTAGTTCAAAGCTCCTTTACTTCTTCCAGAGCTCAAATCTTAAGATCTGTCTTGCCTTCAAGATCTGTATAATAAAGGTAAACATGTAAGAGTGGAAATTTCATTAAAGACTAGTAAGCAACCATGCATAAGTGGAAATTCTAATAAAAGCCCTTGCAATCAGTAATTACAGATAAAGTGCAGACAATAGAAAAGTAATGAGCCATTAAGAATTTCAACCAAAAAATGCAATGGTAGTTCGCACTCCTTTTTTCAGAACAACACGTAAGTTTTTTGGAACAACACACAAGTTTTCAATATATTTTACTGGAAATTTCAGGTGCATCGACTAATACACATCAGAGACACTCAAGGTTCAATATGTTTATCCTCTATACTAAAAGAGGACTTTCATAATTATTACAACCTACCAATGTGCCATTTAAAACAAGGGTTGATCTAGATGATTTACCTTATATCTAGGCTAAATAGTTAAAAAAAAAAAAAAAACTACCAAAACATAGAGGAAAAATGAAGTTCAACTACCAAACCAGTTCAACCTCTCTACAAGAAAACCCATAAATACGTGGAACATATCAAGCCATTCAACTAAATCTCTTCAATAATCAATTGGAAGGCACCTCAGATGAATTCCTTAGAAAAAGTAAACATGATTTATTAGAACAACAAGACAATAAGTGTGCCTTCTATTGACTGCAAGGATATGAATGTGCAAGCAAACAAAACATAAATGAAATATACTCTTAAGCCCGGTTAAAGAGCTCAAAACAACAAAGTCTTAATTCTGGAATAATTATATGCCAGTTCAAATACACATTACCATGTTGATCAACTTCTTTCAGTTTCTCCTTTATCTGCTTCAACAGCTCAAGTACTTCAGGTGTCTGCAACGTCAAAATTTTCAAAAATCCAAAGAAAAAAAAAAGAATAACATCAGATAAAACTACGGAAATTGCATTAACTTACTTGGCCTCAGCTGTGTAACCTCAGAAACTGATATTGCAACAGCAGCTTTTGCATCCTCATCTTCAAGATGCTTCAGAGTTCTGCCAATTTTCCTATCACACTCGACAATGAGTCTATCAATGGCATCCTCCAATTCTCTGTCATAGTTATCAACACCTTTTGCCTTGGCTTCTTCACTTCTAGAAAGAGTTAAGCGACCAAATGTATACTACTAGACCTTACTGCTTGATAGCATAATGAGATGCCATCTAGCAATGGTGCATCAGCATGCCACTCTGACTCTTTTTTTCTTCTAACATATAGGAAACATATCAAATGCTTCAAAGCTCAAAACTAGAGACAGCTAGAAGGATATGATCCTGTAAAAGGATATATACATATATATATATATATATATGAAAACTAGCAAAAAATAAAATATATCCACATCCAACCCTTGCAACCAATCTGAGCAACCTGGTAGGACCTCCCCTTTGAAATGTACTAGAACATAGTACCTATTGATGTACGCTGGTTCTCAAGAGAGCCCAAGTCATATATAACTAACAAAGTTGAGTCACAACAGAACAATTAATGTGTGGCAATAAGATTTAAAAAGGATACTCTTTCCTCAGCAGCAAAGAGTGGACCTTTGGGCATGGTCTCATATCCATTTCCTGAATCAAGATATGATAGAAAATTTGATCAGTACTACAAACTGTAATAACTTTAGATTAAAAAAAAAAAAGAATAGAAAAAACAACATAAAAAACTAGAAGCCAATGTATTGCTAAAGCTAAACATTCAACAATCAAAATCAAAACCTTGATAATGATGGTACATTATTGACCTACCATGTAAACTAGATATGTATAGCATCTTTAGCAATAAATGATTTTACCAACATCCTCTCAGACAAAAGAAATTGTATCAATTGATACATGAATTTAAAAAATTACATTAAAAAAAAAAAGAAGTTGGAAATACAATAACATGCAAGTCTCAAATTTATTTGCTTTCCACGTTACTAAACAATGACAAATCAAAGAGTTTAGCGTCATAATCATTTCTTCTTCCCTAGACCTCACCTCCTAAGTAAACAAACTTAGGAACAGAAAATTTTAATAAAGTTTTGCCTTTCTTTCTTTTTCTACAAACAACAAATACTACCTACCATCATGGTTTTTTTCCTCCAGCCCCTAACCCCTTTTTTTCCTTTGCTTTAGATTTCCTATATTACTCAATCCATTCCCTAGCTATAAGTAATGATCCTTTTGGAACTTAGTGTTTTGCTATTTTATTCATTTCCTAAAAAGTTATTAAAAGCAAAAGAAAATTCATATTTAATTAGTAAAACACAACACAATCAGTCGATGTAAAAGTAAAATCATGCATTCTTCCAATTTTTAAAAGTCAAAGCTATAAATTTTAAATTGTCAAAAACATTGTTGCGTCAGTATTCAAACACTCAGTCCTTTTACAAGCAGAAAATTAGTAAAGAATAATAATAATAATAGGACCTAAACTAATACCACAAACTAATACTATAAAAGAATGTGGAATCGAGCTCCCCTGTCTCGCCTTCCAACACATTTTCACAGAAACCAAAAGGCTTCCCAAGTTCTTCGTTTTCCCTAGTCTATCACTACACAAAATCAACCAAATCTCTCTTAAGCTATAATTTAACGAACAAATTATATGATGAAAACACAGATTAGGGTTTAACAAAAGAAAGAGAATATTAATGAATGGTAATTTAATAAAGTGAATAAAACTAATGAAACCCAACAATAAACCAAAAATAATCTCAACAAATAAAACCCAACAATAATCTCAACAAATAAATAACAAAATACGTGAAAAATGAACAAAGAAATTACCGACGGTGGAGGGGAAACCGGCCGGCCGGTGAGCTGAGAGGGGAGGTGGGAGGGGGGAATCGGCGAGAGAGGGAGGGGAGAAAAGGAAAGCTGTTTGATTTTAGGGATTTAGGGTGAAAATGGGTTTCCCAGCTTTGGGAAAGGGGTTTAAATTTTTTACGATTTTTTAACGGATTATTGATTAGTATTCAATAAATTTGTTTTTTCATAAAAATTTTTAGTGATAGAATTTTTTTGTTGGCTAAATAATTATCAATGAATTATGGATAAAAAATTTCATCGATAATTTTTGTGATAATTCGTGTTATATTTTTATTTACGAATTATCATTGAATTTAATTTCGTCCTTAAATTTTGTCAATACTCTATCGATAATGATTGAATTTTTTTATAATTAAATTTCATAAATAATCTATCGATAATTACTTATAGTAAAATTTTAACGATGATAAACTTATATTCGATAATAAATATTATTTTTAAAAAAAAATAAAATTAAAAAATAAAAAATTAATTTTTTAATCACTAACATTAAATGAAACTAACATGAAAAAAGTTATAATATTTAAAAATAAAAAATAAAAAATGATAAAAAGAAAAAAAAATAATTTGGTATTTGACATTGCCTTAATATTAAGTTGACAAAACAAAAATATTTAAAATTTATAAAATATTTATAAAATATATAAATTTAAAAAATACTAATTTAAAAAAAAAACATATGGCATACCTTAGAATTAAGTCTCACAAAGAATTTAAAATTTTGGAAAAAGAACAATAATAACATATTAAGTTTTATGTCTCATACTTTAGGGTCGACTGTATAAAAAATCAAACAAAAAATCAGGTTAGGTTGTAGTTTAAATTTTCTTGCGCCACTCATTTCTTTCAACAATCATTTTTTCATCTGATTCTTTAATCATCATATCATTTTTTATTACTCACATCTATATCTTTTGTGATTTACATATAGATGTTTTTATCTCTTCTAGATGTAGAGACTTAATTCTCCTAATCAATGCACAGCTAGGCTTACGTTTCACATGTCCAAACCATCGCAAACTACATCTCTCATCTTCACTTCAATTCGAACAACTCTTATTTTTCTCAAATATCTTCATTTATGATTTTGTATCTTCTAGTCTTACCACACATTCATCTAAGCATCCTAATCTCCACTACATTCATTTTTTCTCATGTCATTTCTTCTCATGCTATTATCACACTACTGATCCCAAGTTCGGATAAAGGACGAGGGTTGTGATAAGTTGACAGCTAGTGTAAAATCTTTATCAAGCTCAATTTTGGCATAATCATCTATTTCTGAAGTTGTATCATCAAAATAAATAATTTTGGCAACCATCATTTTTCCAAGGATTGACTTATCACACTTTTGTTTTTTGCTCTTTAAAGAAGTAGCCTATGATGCTTTTTTTTTTTTTAGCTATGAATATACACAAATTTAAATTTAAGGAAAATATCATAAAATAATCCTATTGTTTATAAATGAAAGAAATTTGAAATCAAGGCATTACCTATTCTGGTTTGAAGCATGTCTCTTGTGATAATAGTACCATTCCTAGCATATAAAAAGGCAAGAAAATATGCATTGTTGTTGTATTTCAAAGTGAGCAGATCACCACATTACAAACAGTGTGCATCAACAAAAGCTTTCCAACCATCTTTAAAGTAAAGTTGACCATTGATCTTAGTTAAAAGCATTTTGAATTGAGCAAGTAGTAAACTTTTAAGGACTAGCAAAGTTTTGACATATTGTAAATGTGTCTACATATAATCTATTAGAAAGCTCTGCAACCATAGTTTTATCTAAAACAATTTGTCAAGATAGTTTTGAATAGAGATTTACATGTATTGTTAATAAGAATTAATTTGTTTTTTTATACCAATCATCACAAAAAAAATCAATAAATTATCGTTTGTTGGTTTTTGTGTTGATTATTTATATATTGATATAAAGATGTAAAGTATACATATAAAAGATGCAAAAAAATGTTTTTATTTTGTTTACTGAACAGTAACAAAATTAAAATATATAGAATTATATTGCATAACATTAAGACAACAAATTATAGAATAGAAGTTAATAAATAGTTTATTCAAAATTTATATTGATAATATATATATAGAAAAAGTATATTAAACTAACAATTTTATTGATTTCTTTAAATGAGATGTCATCTAAATGAGAAAAAAATAATTTTGATTATATTGTTTAATAGGTGTTAAAACTAGTGACAAAACATGGATCTCAAGAAGATAATAAGATTAAGGGAAAAAAAAGGAAAAAAAAGAACATGTCATTTATAAAAGCTAAAATGTTTTCTACAGTCAGCAAACTTTTTTAAAAAATATAAATACAATTGATATAATAATTCAATAAAAAAGAGTGACATGAAAATGAAAACAATGATAAATAATCAAAAAATAATATATAGCTAAGTATTCAATTCAAATGTCAAATGAAAATAAAGGCTATGAAGAAAGATAAAATATTTGTGTTCACACAAAAAGTAGAAAAATAAGGAAACTGTTGTGAAACAATTTGATTACCGTGAAATTTTCAAAGATATCCTATTGACACATAATCTTGAAAATTTTTGAAACATGATCAAGGTTAATAAGATTTTTCAATGGTTCATCTTTTGGGTTTATCGTTTTCAACGAAAGGGGTAACAGAGTACAACTTTTAGTTTCTTACAAAATTTAAAACGTTAGGTTTTAGGGTTTTTTCTATTTAGAGAAGAATAGTTTTAAGCAAAATAAAGAGTTTTAAATGAAGTTAAGATTTTAAATAAACTTCTAGTTGGTTAAAAGTTAGAGTCAAATCATTTTAATGGAAAAAAGAGAAGAGTCAAACCTTAAGTTTTTAGGCTCGTTACTTCTAATGTTTTATTAAATAGGATATTTGTTTAAAAAAATTTTCAAATACTCCGTTTATATATGTTAAACATAGCGTTTATTGTGTTTAGATTTTAATGGGGTTTTAATATGCTTTAAATAAAATAATATTTGTTTGAAAAAAAAAATTCAAATACTAAGTTTATGTATGTATATATGTAGTATTTGTAAACACCCCAATTTTGTCTAGGGTTGTAACTATTTAATTTGTTTTATAAATAAATAAATAAATAAAAAAGAAAATCAAGTGGTTGAGTTTGTATGGAACTGTTTGTTTGGATTATAAAGTTTGAGTTGAACTTAATGAGGGAATTAAAGGGAAAGTGAAACTCTGTTTGATATAGAGTTCTCTTGATGTGAATCCTATAAATACAAATCCAAATCAAGCAATGTGATACACAAAAAGATCAATAAAAAAAGGCATACTCAGAAATCAGAGAGGAAAGTAGTGATTTTTTTAAGAGTTTTTTTTGGAAAAATATGAAATTTGCAAATTTCGACAAATTTTTCTAGTTCTTGGTAAAGATTTCGGTGAAGTTTAAACTTTCCAATGAGTTTTCCATAATTTGATGAAGATTCCAATAAACTTTTCCAATTTTCAGTGAATATTCTGGTGAAGTTTAAACTTTTCGACGAGATTTTTAGATTTTGATGAGGATTTTAAAATACAACAACCGATGTTCATCAATTTCTAGAGAGAGAGAAAAAAACTAATGAGAGAAAGGAGACATAAGAAATGCCCTACTGAAATTACATCGTTTTGATGTTTAATTCGGCCCAAAATCCATGTGTTTTCACCAACTCGACCTGACTCGTAGCGTGATCTAGTTAGCAACCCATTCCAATCGTTATTCCTTTAACCAAGTCGAGTCGTGAGCCTAGTCGTTCTAGCTGCTCTCCTTTCTTACAATTGAGCCACACACACCAATTGATCCAAGCCGAGCTAGTTCCTATTTTAGTTTTTATTTATTTATTTATTTTTTTTAATGATTAAATTTTAGGAAAATTAGAGAAAAAATTTTAAAAATACAACAAAATAAATCATTAATAAATTTTTTTAAAAAAAATAATAATTATTCAAGGATGAAATTTTTAGAAATTGCAAAAAGTTAATTTCTATAAAATTCATAGGTGAGAAATTTTTTTAAATCTACTCCAAATGGAGGAAAATTTAGATAAAATTTCAATAATAATAATAATAATTAATATTTATTTTTTAAAAAATAAAAATAAAAAACATAAATTTAATAAAATTTTTTAATTAAAATGCTAATTACTCAATTATGAGATTCCTAGAAATTTTAAATGGTAAATTTTTTAACAAATCTCTAGGTAAGGAACTTCTCTAAATTTAACACAAATGATAAAATAATTTAGATGAAATTTCAATAAAAATAATTGTATTCTTTTCCAAATAAAATAATATATAACCTAAAAATGTAGGGAAAAAATATTTGACAATTATTCAAAAGTGAAAATCTTAGAAATTTCAAATGGTAAATTTCCTAAAAAATCTCTAGGTGAGAAATTTCTTTAAATTCAACCCAAATTGTGAAAGAATTTAAATAAGACTTTAAAAAAATAATTATCATATTATTTTCTTTCCAAGAATTTGGAAATAGAAATAAAAATAAAAATAAATTCTGAGAATAAAATTTTTAGTAACCATAAATGGATGATTATCTAAGATATTTCTAAGTGAGAAAAGATTTCTAATTTTGCCCAAATGGTGGAAGAATCAGATATGTTTTCAATAAAACAAAAATTTAATAAAAATAAACTTGATTAAATTTTCTGACGATAGAGTCTCTTCAAAAAAATAAATAAGATTCTTGAATACTCTTGAGGTGAGAAAATACTATTAATTATTCTGCCAGATTGATGGAGAAATCTTAAAAATTATTTTCAATATTAAATTTAAGACCATTAGAATCAAGACCTTAGGATAATTTAAAATAAAATGATATTGTCTTTTGGATGGGCATGTGGGGGTGCTATAACCTTTCCATATGTAATTGAACTCCTGAACCCTATTTTGATTAATAGACCATTACCTATTCTTTTAGGGATCTTTAGTCAAGCTTACGAGCTCATTAAAAGGATAGATTCATTAGGTGACCAATTACACCTAGATAAAATATTGGTGGAGACTTCTTTTATTAAGTCTAGCTATAAATCTACGGATCTATACATTATGACAGTTTGACGACTCCACTAGGGATGAATAGAGAGTCATGCCATAACATTTTAAATTTATCCTATTCTTTGAGCTAATGGTCTTAAATTG